CCTGCCTGTGTGCTCCAGCAGCAGTCCCCTTGTGTTGCTACCCCGCTCTGGGCTACCCTTAGCCTGTTAAACACTACACCCCACGCCTGCCTGGCTGTACTGTGGGATGGTGCCTGGCAGGAGTTGGGTCCTCAGCATTCCCCCCATCTCAGCCACTCCCAGGATCATTGCTAGGACCAAAGACTGCACCCCCGGGGGGCCATACTGCTCTCATGATGGGGTTCAGCAGCCCTGCATAGGGCCCTGTGCTGGAGGAGCTGCCAGCACCTGCATGTTGCTGCATGCCATTGTATCTCTAACAGTAAAGCGGCAGCAGGAGCTGCACATCTGTCCCAGATGTGTCTTGCATGGTTTGTCCCTTTGCCCCAGTAAGTAACACCGGAGCGGGGAGGGGGTAATTGCTCCAGCTGGGATGAACCAAGGCTTGGCAAGCTCTTGGGAGCTGAATGTCCCCGTGGCACAGGGGGCACCTGAATACAGCTGTGGGCGGGGTGTCTTCTGCACCCAGTGCTCCCAGGCTGGGCTGGGACACGGGTCAGTGCCTGGACCCTTCCCCCGGGATGCATGTAGGGGTCACAGCACTTGCATAGTGGATACAGCGTTTTCCCTGGCAATCTGCCCGGGCATAGCTGCCAGAGCTTTTGGGGCAGCCCCGGGGAGGGAGTGGCCGTGCCCGGGGAGATGTCTCCGTGCTGCTGCCGAGCGTGTTCCAGGGTGCCCCGGTTCACCGCGGCACGGCAGGGTGGTGCCCGGCGGTGCCCGGCGGTGCCCGGCGGTGCCCGGCGGTGCCCGGCGGTGCCCGGCGGTGCCCGGTGCCTTCCTCCGCTCGCAGGGAGCGCGGGGGCGGCGGCGGCCGCTGGGCGGCGCCAGTGCTGGGGCGGAGCGCGCGCGCGCAGCCGGGTGCGGGAGCGCAGGTGCGCGCGAACGCGGGCGCGCGGGGGTGTGCGCGCGCACGGGTGTTGGGATGGGACTCGGGATGCTCCAGTGTGAGGGCGTGCGTTTGAGAGCGAGTGCACGGGGCTGGTGTGAGTGCAGGCGAGTGCACGATGGGATACACACGTGCACGCGCATGGGAGCGTGTCGGCCAGCGGCCGGAAGCATGTGGAGAGCGAGCGTCTGGCTGCGCGGGGAACACGCGCATCTGCCCGTCGGTGCACACGAGTGGACACAGGCACGCACAGGTGGATGTGTGCACGTGCATGTGAGCGCACACAGCTGAACTCTTACCTAGGTGAGCGCACGCGGCGCCCGCGAGCACGCATGTTCACACAGTTGAACACGCCGCATGGGTGCAGGGCACAGCTCCGTTATGTTGCTCACAAGCACCAGTGGTGAGTTACTGCCCGTGCAGGTGAACACACACTTGGGGGAACTTGTCCTACCTCTGATGTGCACGTGTGAATGCATGCACGTGTGTGTGAACATGCAAATGAGCCAATGCACACACGGGTAAATGCGTGCACGTGTGTGTAAGTGCGAGTTCATAGAGCTACTTGTGCAAGCCTTTGCATATGGATAACTGCAGGCACAGGGAAACTGTGCCCCATGACCCATTCAAAACCCCATTGCCCCTCCATGCAGTTCCAGCTGCTACCAGGTAGGACCACGGCCCAAGGCATGGAGGCTTGGCCAGGTTGCTGGTTACAGGGACCCTCAGTGCTGGATGTGGCCATGGCATGGGGTGTCCTGGGCATCCCTTCGTGAGAACCCCGAGGAGATGCAGACCCATCATAGTATTCGGGGTCCTAAGTCTCCCAGAGAATTAGGCAGACAACCCACAAAGGTGGGGTAGCTCCCAGCCCTGGTGTCTGTCTCTCCATTGCGATGATCTCTTCATTTTACAGATCCCAGATCTGTCCCACGATACCCCATACCTGGGACAACTGACGTGGGGAAGGATGAGGACATGGTAGGTAGTGATGCTTTAGTGAGAGACCCTGCCACATGTGGGAGATGGGGAATCCTGGAGCATAAAAGTCCAAACCCCATAGTAGGCCCCCCTCACTCTCACAGTCCATTACAGCTCAAAAGGAAAAGCCATGCGTTGGGAAGGGACAAGAGAGCCCTCCCTGTCCCTGGGCTGAGACAGCATGGCCCTAGCAGGAAGAAGGGATATGGGTCTCTGCCAGCATGGAGAGCCCAGGACAGCAGTGGGTGAGAGATGAGCATAGGGGCCCATGGGACACTGTGGGATGGAAAGGAAGGCCAGACCCTCTCTCCCTAGATGTGGGGCTGTTTGGTGGCACACCTCCCTGTGTGCATGCGTGTGTGTGTGTTCCAACACTCTGGAGTATGTTCTATGCAATTACACGTCTGTGGGGGTATCTGCATGCATGCATACCACAGAAGCATAGAAGGGTTTGGGTTGGGAGAGATCTTTGAAGGACATTCTGTCCAATCCCCCCTGCCATAGGCGGGGATATCTTCCAGGGATGCTGGGTTGCTTCAAGCCCTATCCAACCTGGCACGGAACACTTCCAGAAATGGGCCAGCCACGGCTTCTCTAGGCAACCTGTGCCAGTGCCTCACCACCCCCATGAAAAAGGATTTACTCTTTCTGTCTGACCCAAACACACCATAGGTCACTTTAAAACTGTTGCCCCTTGTCCTGTCTCGGCATGCCCTGTGAAAAACTCTTCTTTTGGAACTCCCTTGACATATTGAAATGCCACTCTAAGGTGTCCCCAAAGCCTTGTCTTCTCCAGGCTGAACAACCCCACATCTCACAGCCTGTCTCCACAGTAGATGGTTTTCAGCCCTCGGAGCATCTCTGTGGCCTCCTCTTGACCTGCTCTAACAGCACCACATCCTTCTTGTGCTGGAAACCCCAGAGCTCGATCCAGCAAAACTGGGCGTCTCACCAGAGCAGAACAGAGCAGAGCAGATGGGGAGAAGCTCTCTCTCTCATCCTGCTGCCCACCCTGCTGGGGATGCTCTCGGGACACGAGTGGCTCTCTGGGCTGCCAGCATGTTCGTGTGCACTTGGAAGTGTGTGTAAAGTAAGTGTGTGGAGGCATCCGTGTGTGTGCTCGGCCACGCCTCCATGTGTCACCATATGCCAATACGGTTGCATGACAGTGTGCCTGGGGGTACCTGTACCCGTGCCTGGGGTGTGCATGTGGGTATGTGCACAAAAATGTGTGTGGCCACGGTGTGAACGCTCACCCGTGGCAGCCATGTGCCTGACCTTGTCCATGTGGGGAATGCACAAATACGTGCACAGTGGCAGTGCATGTGCTCACCCGTGCCTACACGCATCTATGTGCATGCACATGGTGCATGTGCTTTCCCATGCCTGGGGTGTGCAGGCTTGTGCGTGTGGTCTGAGACCACAGATAAGGGCATGGAAATCGTGCATGTGCCTGCTTGTGGATATGCCCGTGTGGATGGCGCACACACATGTGTGGCTGTGATGCCTGTGCATGTGCTGGCCCTGCCCACGTGGGTGGTGCACACACAGGTGCACTGCAGCGTGGCATGTGTTCTCCCATGCCCATACATGTACTTGTGTGAGGGGAGCATCCTTTTGTGCACACCCACGCCCACGCCCGAGCCGCGCCTGCCCGTGCATGTGTGAGCGTGTGCACACGTATGTGCATGGCGGCGCCGCGTGTGTACGTGCCCACGGCCAGGCTGTGCGTGCCACGGTGCGTCCGGGACTATGCACACGTCCGTGCTCGGTGGTGATGCGTGAGCACACCCCCGCCGGTGCGCCCGCCGTGCCCGCGCGGGCGGGCAGCGCACACGGGTGTGCACGTGCTCTCCCGTGCCCGCGCGGGTGCCGCACACGGATGCGCGCGGCGGCGCGCGGGTGCCCGCTGTGCCCGCATGCTCGGGGCCGTGCGTGGGCCGCCCGCGCCGCGCAGCAGCGCCCGCCGCGCCGAGCAGGCCGGGGCTTGCGGCAGGGGCAGGGCCGGGGCCGCTTGCGGAGGCACGTCCCGGCGGGGCCGGGGGGGCTGCGGACGGCGGGCCGGGGCCGGAGAAAGAGCGACCTTGCACCAGCGGCGGCGGCGGCTCGGGTCGTGCAAGGTGTGTGCGGGGCGGGGGGCGCTCCGCCTTCCCCCGCCCGGGCGTGCTGCGGGATGCTCGGCGGGGATCGGGCACCCGGCAGCCCTGGGGCTGAAGGAGGCAAAGCACCCGAGGAGGGCGCGGGGGTCAGCAGCGCTGCCCTCGCTCACTCCCCCCGTCTCCTCTCCCCGCAGCGCTTGTTGCTGCGCCGAGAGACGGCACCGCAGCTGCCGGCAATCGCGGGAAGGGGGAGGGCGCGGCGGAGCCGGTCCGTGGTAGGTGCTTGGGGCCCGGCACGGCTCCGTGGGGTGCCACCCGCCACCCCCGGCCCGGGCACGGCAGCCCTGCTGCCGTCCAGGCTCGCTCGTTGAGGTAGGTGCCCCCCTCAGTCCGTCCTCAGTCCTCGGGGCCGGCAGAGATGCCGTGGGGAGATGGCTTCCCCCGCATGCGGGAACCCTGCGCTCCCCCCTCCATCCCAGCCCACCCGCAGTCACCTGCTCGGGGCGACTCATCGGCGCGGGAGGTTCACCCATCCCTTCCCAGCTGCCGGAGCCAGACGGATGGCGGGGTCCAGCTGCTGCTTTTCATGGAGATCCCTGCGCTGTCCCCGGCCACGCAGGGCAGCCCAGCACCTCGGGGGTGGGCAACAAGGGGAAATAGCACAAGCTGCGGAAAGGGGTCCCACCCCTCTATTCACCAATGTACCAATGTCCAGGCATGGGGCAGCCACAGTCTCCTGCGCCCAAGCCAGGGACAACGTGCCAGGTAGGCTGAGGAATGGTTGGGACACTGAAAAAAGGAAGGAAAACTTTGCCTGAAAGGATGCCACCCTGAGTGTCGTTCCTGGGCAAGGAAGTGCCATCTCCCTTGATTTCCAGGATTGCAGGTCCCAGCTGGCAGAGCCCTACAGGACGAGGGGCCACGCGTACCTCTTCAGGTCTCTTCCTCCATTCCTATGTGTCCTTGTCCTCTCAGGACTGTCATAAGAGGCTGCAGAGCTCTGAGCCAAGCCAGCTTGGAAGATGGCCGAGAAGCTGGTGCCTGGGGACCTGTTCTCGAGGAAGACTCGGGAATCGGTGTCGTCCCTGGACTCAGACAAGCTGGCACCCATCTCACCCGAGGTGGGTGGTGAGGAGTCGTCCGACAGCGAGGGCGAGCAGGAGGACAATTCTCACAAGCTCATCCGGAAGGTTTCCACCTCGGGGCAGATGAGAAGCAAGGTCAGAGGTGGGGGATGCTATGGGTGAGGGGCTGGCTGCGTGTGGGGTCGCTGCTGAGAACGGGGCAGGGAAGCTTATCTTCTCCAGGATGTGAATCGGTACCAGATTCATGTCACTGGCAGACGTGACCCAGCCAGAGCTGGGAGGGTTCTGGTCCCGTGTGCCCTGTGGGAGGGCACACAGAAACATGCAAACCCCACAGTGGTAGTGTCAGCGTTGGTCCCATGGGGCTGTGAAGCATGGATTTTATCCCATTGTTCAGGAGCAGGATCTCTCCCATACCCAAACAGCCCCTTCCACATTGCCTTCATGCTGCATTTGTATCCCTTGGGTTGCCATTACTTGTCCCTGGAAGAAGAGGATGCTTGTTGAGAGACTCTGCCCAATGGATGCTCTGGGTCTGAGATTTAGGGTCATTACAGTTCTGTAGGCTCCTGGGATCCCACACCCTGCTGCAGGCACTGCGTGTGCATGTCTTGGTGTGTGGCAAAATGGAACCTGCATCTTTCCTAGTGCTCCAGATTAATTTGTCTGTGCCAGTTCCCCTGTGGGCCCCGTTCCCACAGATCCAGTCCCCAGTGGTTGTTTGTTGGACAGATGGGAACACCTTTGAGATCAGACATGACACTCGCATTTCCCAGCCACTGGCATGAGAGCGGCTGGGGTGTGTGTGTGTGTGTATGTGTGTGTGTATCACAAAATAGCTCAGAAAAAGCTATTTTGATAGTACCTACAAAATATGGGGTGTGGTGCCTTTAGCCAAACAGGAGTGCATGGTCAAAGGTGTCCCAGGTCGGGACAGTGGAATTCAATGCAGGGAGAAATAACCTGGGCCGAATGGCCAGGTGGGACGTGGGGAGAGAAGGAGGTTTGGAGGGGACGTTCTGGGGAGGGAGGATGCAGACACAGCGCTGGGAGGATGCTCTGGATGACATGCTGGGCGAGCAGTCCCTTTGCATGCACCTTTCAGCTGCGGCAAGGAGGTGGCAGAGTGAGTCAAGGCAGTGCCTGCAGTGTTGGGCTGCACGCGGGGGCTGCTGGAAATCCCCCCGCAGCCAGTTTTGGTGCCAGCCACCCCTCGGTGGGGATTTGATGGCTGTGCTGCTCCAGGGAGAGGGGAGAGCTCTGAAAACACAGCGTAGGAATGCTGTTGTGGAGCAGGGAGTATCACCAGACTCTGGTGTGGGGTGCTGAGGGCATGAAGGAAGGGGAATGAGGCAGTGTACTGGTCTGGTGGCAGCTGTAGGGATGCTTGGGACTGGGCCAGGCTCCCCTCCTGCTGGCCCTGGCTTGGCTGTTGTGCCAAGCCTGGTGCACTGGCATGAGGTGGGCAGAGGATGACTGCCCAGGGGTATGGAAATTGCATGCTCCCAACCTAGCACCGTGGGGTTTTCCCACTTGGCAGAAGAGATTTCTCTTGCCAGCCTGGCGTCTGGTTGGTTGGACTCCTTCCTTCCCTATGGAGATGAGGATTTTTGGATGAGATTGCTGGTGCCACCCAGGTTGGGCTCACAGCCCTGACATGACACATGTGCTGCCTGTCACTCTAGCCACAGCCACAGCGTGTGTGCCATGGTAGGCACCTTCCTGAGTGACACCCCTGTCTTGACATCCTTGTCACCCGGGTGGGAGTGGGGTGGGGGAGGGAATCATGACCTGCACTCCAGGTGCAAGTACCTAAAGAAGACAGCAAGGCAGAGTTCAGGGTGGCAGCTCCTGAGACCACAGGTGGAGGGGATTCAGGGCACACTGTCCTATTTTGGGTTGTATGTGGTGGGTGGGTTGCTGGACAGGGTCTATAGGAGCTTGCCATGTTGGAGGGGCTGGGAAAGGTCAGGACCTCCGCCCCACTGCCCATCCACACTGATGATGGAAGCAGGCAGCTTCTCCCACTCCAAGCTCTTGTCCAGCCCCTGGGACAGGAGTAGGTGAGGATCATTTTGGGATCTGCTGAATCCTTCTGATTTCTGCCCCCCAATCTCTGTGCTTCTGCACTCTGAATGCCCGTGTCCCACATCCCTTCCTCAAGCCTCCACATCAATCACATCTCCCTACTCCATACCTCCAGGCTGGGACTGGGGACATGCTGTGGGGTGCTTTGTGCCAGCACTGGTGTGGAGGCGGCAAGGTCATTGTGCTCAGTGACAAAAACAGCTGCCAGATGTAGGTGTCCCCGCTGGACTGAAAGGCTCTAGGATGGATGGGGTCTTGCTGACCCCCCCTCCCCCAGTGCAGCTGGGGGCTGCCAGTTGCCTGTACCAGTTTTTAGATGTGCAAGGGCAGAGTGGGGATGTGATGCTGCTTCCCAGCACTGGTCCCCGTAGGGCTGGGCATGGAGAGAAAGTGAAGGGGAGAGAGGAGGCACTGGTTCTGGGGTGCACCAACGCATTAGAGTTGCTGGGAGTGGTGGGTCACATCCTGCCCATGTGGCTGGGGTGTTCATTTCCCAGCACTGCCTCAGCACAGGCTCTCCCAGCAGCTGAGTGGAGGCAGAGAGTGATCCAGCAGCGCTGTTTGGTTCAGTGAGCAACAGGTCCTGGAGTGATTGCACCACAGCTGGGAGGTGGAGGCATCAAGGGGGCACAGAGGGATCCAGGGTTGCCCGTGGCATGGGCACAGTGTGCATGGCCTCGATGGGAAGGGACCACATGGCTTGTCTGCTATTTGGAATGGGGATTTGTTCCCGAATTCCTGATATTGTGATACATCACAGCTGCTTGATGGGGCTGAGACACCCACCAGAATCCTCCCATGGGGCTCAGGGAGGTCAGTGGGGTTATTGGTAACCTTGGGAATGAGGGTTCCTTGTCCTTGCTGCAGGCATTGAGCATCCTGCAGGCTCAGGGTGCCCCAAGAATGGGGCAAGCTGTACCTGTGCATACTGGGGTGTTGGGCAGCTGTAGGGAGCCTGGTGAGGCAGTACTGTAGAGCCAGGCTGTGGGGAAGGCTGCCCACCGAGTTCTAAATCCTGGCCAAAAAGATGAAGAAAGCAAGGTTGAGCTGGCTGGGGCCAAGCCTGAAAACTTCTGCAGCAGGAGGGTGAACCGTGGCTCCTGGGCAGTACATCTTCCAGACTTGATACTGGTGGGACACTGGAGCATCTCTCATCCAGAGAGAGCCTAGGAGACCTTGGACTCTTCAGCCTGGAGGAGAGACTGTAATCAAGGGGTCCCCAGTTTTTGAAAGGGAGGGTGCAGCAAAGAGGGAGCCAGGCTCTTCTCAGTGGTGTCCGCCAATGGATAGAGATGAAAAAATAGGAAATTGCACCTCAACACAAGAAAACACTGTCTGAGACCAGGGAGGCTGGGCTTGCTCTCAGGGCTTGACAACTGGTGCCTGGGGTATGAAGATAGCCCCGTTGTTACTAGCTGGATGTTTGTGAGGTTTCTCAAGCACTCTGCCCTGTCCCCATTCACTTTTTCTGTTGTGTGAATGTCGCTCTTGCTCATCAGCTCTTGCCCATCCCTGCTGGGCAGAGTGGGAGGGCTGTGCCCACCAGCACAGGGGCAGGGGCATTGAGGCACAAGGGGAAGGGGGGAACTAGCACAGGTCGGGCTGATGTGGGATGTCTGCCAGCAGAATGCCTGGGGACCGATGTGGCTGTAGATAGGGAAGCATGACCTCATTTCTAAAAAGCAGCTGCTGGATGATGTGCTGTAGGGGGATTGCCTTTCTTCTAGGGGCTCCTTTCCCAATTCCTCTCCTCCTGTTAATTCTCTGTCCCTTTTCAATGGCCTCGTGAGCATGATGTGATGGCTTGTCAGGACTGGTGCTGGAATCTCCTTTCAAGGATCCACCCAGCACAGGAAAGGGGTATTGTGGTTTGTTCTGCAATGGCAGAAAGCTCCATCCTCTGGGAGCAGCTGAGCCTGTGGGGCCATAGCACCCATCAGGCACCGAGCCCCCTGACTGCCCAGTTCCGGAAGAGCTCTGCTGTGTCACAAAGCCTGATAAGGTTTCCAACTGACTCCAGCCCATGGGCTGCCTAGCAGCTGGTGGAAGTCGTGCAGCTGGGCTGTTTGAGGTCTGCCAGCTTTCCTCTGCTGTCCTGGTGCCTGCTGGCTCAGCTGGGGGATGAGCTCTGATGCAACTGGACCCCGGCTTATGTTCAGTGGGCTGCTGTACTTGGAGCAGGAGGGTGACTGCCTGGAATGATGCTGGTGCAATGCAGGTTGGTGTGTTGACAGACTCTCCTCTTTCCCTTCTCCTCCTACCGGGTGAGGCATCGTGTGGTCACAGGGACGAGTATGTCCCTTCAGGAGTGGTGTAGGGTGGTCAGCTGTGTGGGCAGACAGTGTGGTGCTCATCAGCTATATGTGACAGCATTCCTGAGTAACAGCCTTCCTGGCTCTTCTCCAGGCGCTCCTTCAGTGTCCAAGCTGATCCCAGCAGGGAAATCCTCCTGCCCCAGCTGTGCCCAGTCCTGGATGCACAATGGGCTCTCCCCAGGAATGGTGGTGGCAGAGCTGGGAGGGTGGGGTGACAGAACAAAGCAGCATCCTGGGGCTCTGCTTTAGGGCTGAAGGCAGGGCTGGCATTTTGGGTTGTAGCCTGACCTGGAAGAATCCCTCCTGGAGGGTGTTGAGCTCCCCTGGGCTGGGTTCAAGCCCCCTGCTCGTGCAGGGCACACAGCCAGCCTGTGGCATGATGGTCTCTGGGGACCAGCCCAGTCCTGGCAGGGCCCAGATCCTCCCAGGGTCATTTTTACCTGTGTGCCCTGTGAGGTTCTGCTGCAACTGCCACTTCGACTGCATCTGAGCTGGAGGTGGTCATATGTCTGCAGATGCTGTATGGTTTCATTCTTGCCTTTGCCTTGCCACCCTGTGCCTCCAGGATCCCCCCAGTGCCGGTGCTGAGTCCCCTGGGCTGGAGAGAGCAGGGAGGGACCTTGGGATGGGGCAGTGGAGTGCTGGACAGAGCCCTACAGGGGAGCTCTGGCTGATTGCTGGGTGGGTTTTCTGTGGCTCTGGGTGTGCCGCCTCCGTTGCTGAGATGAGACCAGCGCTGGTTTTGCTGAGGCTCCCTGCAGTGCTGCCTGCGGCTCTCCAGACAGAAAAGCTGCAGTTGGGGTGAGTGGAGGGGCTTGGGTTTGTTTTGGGGTGCGGCTGGCACACTGTGCTTACAGCTGTGTAGTGACCAGTGCAGAGCTCCCAGCCCAGTGGCCAGGGGCTGCCAGTGTCCCCCAAAAGTCTCCAGGAAGAAGAGGCAGTCCCTGTGCTGCAGGTGCTCAGCTCTTTCGAGCTCTAGGGTACCTAATAGCCACTTACTGTATTATTGTGGTGACACTGGTGCCCTGGACAGGGCTTCGGGAGCCAGTACAGCGAGGGTGATGCCACCCTGTCGTGGCCTGTCCGCCCTTGCCATCCCCACCCCTTTCCTGTTTGCAAAGAGGAAACACTGGGCTCATCCAGCAATGCTGCTGCAGCGTGGCTTCACACTGTGTGGCTGGGCTTGCTGCTGGCCTTGGCCATCGGGTGCCTCTCAGGTCTCCTTCTGTTGTTCATTCCAAAAGCAGGAGTCCAAAACCAGGGAGCCACCAGGGAGCTGCTCCCTGCCCCAGCAGCTGGAGCAAAGTGTTCCTGGCTGAGACCCGTGGTCAGAAATTGAGGTAGGTGGGCGGCTTACCATAGTGAGATCCCAGAACAGCCCTCTGGCACCACAGATTTGTGTGCCTGCCCAGGCAGCGTGGGACAGCTTATGTTGGAAAAGCAGCCTGCCTTATTTTCCCCAGGAGGAGTTGTCTGGCCCCATGCTGGCACCAATGGAACCTGTACATGTGTATGTATGGTGTGCATGGCATCACACACCGGGGATGATGGAGCCTGGATGGGCAGCTGCTGAAAGGAGGAGCTGTGCAGCAAAATGCTGCCCATGACAACACAGAGGGCTTGGCTTTGATGAGCAAAGCAGCCCCCAAGAGTGCATGTGGGGAGAGGTGCCCCCTGAGCTTCTCTGCACCAGTTTTGCTGCTCCATGTTGAGATTAGTCTGCACTGGTGGAAAACTGAGGCACGCTCCCACCAGCCATGGTACTGGAAGTGTTGTAAAACTCTGATGGGTGTTGTGGTGAAGGTGGGGGACTCTGCCTTTCAGGGAAGCTGCAATCCTGTCCCTGGGATGGCCAGGACTGTGACATCTTGGGGCTGGGTGATGACTTTTTGCTGCTGTCAGGAGCTGCTGTTGGGGGTGTTTTGGCTCTGACCCTCCTTTGCAGGAGTGGGTACCACCCTCCCAGGCAGCCAGTCCTTGCTGTATCCTGCCGCCCATGTGGCCCTGGAGCCAGGCAGAGTGCCCATGCCCAGGTGGCTCCAGCCCCTGCTGTGACAGCCCTGAGGCGCCATCATGGACCCACCTCTTCTTCCTTCTCCTTCTCATCCTTTTCTTCTGCTGCCTTCCCCCACCACCACCGTCACAGTTCCTCACACCACCCCTCGCTGTCACGCACTGCCTGTCCTTTGCAGCAACAGCAGTGACTGCAGCAAAGACAGCACCTGTGCCTGACAGTGCAGCCAGGTGTGGAGGATGCGGTGTTTGGGGCTGGATCCCACCTGGCCATGGCAGAACCGTGGCTTGTCCCCTCCCGATGTGGGACAAGGACTTCTGGGGTGCATGGTTTGTGTGTGGATCTGGGGGTCACAGCTGGACCTCACTGGAAAGCCCCCTCTGGGCTCCCTCAGCTGAGAGGGCAGGGCAAGGACACAGTGTGTCCCGGGCTGCTGGCACTGGGGACAGCTGGGCTGTTTGCACCAACATCCGTAGGCATCATGGTGACTGACCACAGCCAAACTCTGACCAGTCTTGGGGAGTGATAAAGGCTTAAAAAGTCCCTCTTCAAACTCCAAGCTGGAAGAGAGCAGGGAACAACATGGTGGGTGCCACAGGGAGGTCCAGGAGGGTTAGGCATTTGGAGGTTTGAGCTCCCCAGGTGGGGTTTTAGCTTCTTTGTGACCTTGAAGGCTCCTGCTGTTCCTGGTGCTTTGGCCATCTGGTTCAGACCCATGGGCCAGTAGATTAAGGCTGGGACCTGGAGCTGGTGTGTTTGCAGGCTGGCGGGTGCCTGGGTGCCACCTCTTGCAGCACATGGGTTGGCACAGGAGTGCAGAGCCCCAGGGCTATGGTTCCCTCACTGTACCCTCGTGCCCAGTGCTAATTTGCCGTTAAATGTGGCTTGTCATCATGTGCCTGGATTGGATACAACCACTGTGGCAGCTAATTGCAGAGTAGCAGCTGAACGGAGCTGCCGGTGGTGTTTAAAGAAGATACAATCAAAGATGAGGCAGTGCCAGAGCATCTCTGCCACCCCACTCAGGCTCATAGCCATGTTGCAAACACTAATTAATTGAGTCTTGTAAACACCACTGCGAGAAGGGTAAATATTGGCAGGTGCTGTGTTTCAGGGAGGGCAGAGGATGGGCAGCCAGGTTGCGGTGATGCACTGTGCTGCAGGGCATGCTCTGTCTGCTGTGGGCTTGGTTGTCCCCTCCAGGGGCTGTGGGGCAAGGCAAAAACTGGCTGCACCTGCTCTCTAAACAGTGCCCAGGTAATGGTGCTTCCAAGATGCAGTCTTGGTATATCTGGGGCAGTAGTGTCCCCTCAAAGGAAGCTCTCCTGCCCTCCCTTGGCTTCTAAGTAGCTGCAGCAGGATGAGCAACTCCATGCTCTACCCTGGGGATGGAGTAGAAGTGTCAACAGTGCACTGCACTGCTGGAGACCTGCACTTCCAGCCCTGCCATGCCCGGCAGCATCCTTCCAGATCACAGGGAGTGCCCAGTGCCCAGGTGATGGTGGCCAGGGAACATAATTTGCTCTGCTACATGCAGCAGAGAGTGAGCCCCAGAATGTCCAATCTGTGCTCCTGGGGACCCAGGGACTGGTGTCTGGAAAATGGTGGCTTTGGTGATCCTGAGAGGCTATAGGAGCTCAAGACACTGTGATCTTTGCAGAAGAGTGTAAAGGAGGGGCTGTTGCTGAAGCAGACGAGCTCCTTCCAGAGGTGGAAGAGACGATACTTCAAGCTGCGAGGCAGGACACTCTATTATGCTAAAGATGCCAAGGTAGGCTGGGGGGCACTTCCAGCATGCTCAGTCAGGGGGGACCTGAGCCTGCCAGCCCAGGAGGGGACAGAGGTCCCTGCCTGGTGGACTGGGGCTCTGGTTCCTCCCTTGCAGTCCCTGATCTTTGATGAGGTGGACCTGTCTGACGCCAGTGTGGCCGAGACCAGCACCAAGAACATCAACAACAGTTTCACGGTGAGGGAGGTGTGGGGCTACCAACCGCGCCCTGTGGCGGCCTCTGCACCTTGTGGGGAGGCACTACAGACCTCCCTGCTCTCCCCAGAGCCACGGGGCACTCCATAGCATGGCCTCCTGCTGCTGGAGGTGGCACTGAGATTGCTGGGGCCTGTGCTGGGTCCTGGCTGGCCTGGCGGTGGCCTTGGCACAGAGCACGGGCATTGGCGGCTGTTGCAGGTGATCACTCCGTTCCGGAAGCTCATCTTATGTGCGGAGAACCGGAAGGAGATGGAGGACTGGATCACTGCCCTGAAATCTGTCCAGAAGTGGGAGATCCATGAGGTGATGTGGGCAGGGTGCTGCTTGGACCTGTATTTCCACGTAGAATGTGTTTCCCTCTGTGTGCCTTCGGCTGCCAGACAAGAGCTGTTGCCCTTGGCATAGCCCTGCAAGGAGGACGGGAGTTGGGCTGGGGGGACTCGGGGGCCAGGAGGGAGGGAGGGAGCGAGTCCCAAGCACTGATGGGGCAGGGCTGTGCCTCCAGGCCACACAGTTCAACATGGAGCACTTCTCGGGCATGCACAACTGGTACGCCTGCTCGCACGCCCGCCCCACCTTCTGCAACGTGTGCCGCGAAGCTCTGCCAGGGGTCACCTCCCACGGCCTCTCCTGTGAAGGTCAGTGCTGGGGTTCTGCTGAGAGGTGGGCAGGGGTTGGGATCGGGGCAGGGCAGCCTCTCAAGGCTGGGCCAGAGCAGGGGTCGTGCAGGGTGATGCCCATTGCCCAGATGTGGAGGAGTTTGGGACCAGGGATGTGCATGCTGTGGGGACCTTCCCTGCTCCTCACTGCTCTCCCGTGCAGTCTGCAAGTTCAAGGCACACAAGCGCTGTGCTGTCAGAGCCACAAACAACTGCAAGTGGACGACTCTGGCCTCCATCGGCATTGAAATCATCGAGGATGAGGATGGGGTAAGCAGGGGAATCCCTTTCAGGGATCCTGGCAGGACAAATCCTCCAGCAGAACTGGCCTCACTATGCCCAAATCGGGAAGCAGGAAGAAACTAGCTGTTCCCTGCACTGTGTGGGGCTTGGCTCTGCGGGGGCATGGCTTGGGGACACCACCTCTGGCACCCTGTATCAAGATCTCTTTTTGCCGTCCAAGTGGGGCCACCTCCAGACATTTTCCGGGGACGTGTCTGCCCTGCCTCACGTGCTGATGGCTTCAAGGGGCCAGGCAGGCAGGGATGAGAGGACATGGAAGGGGTCCCAGACCTGCCTTGCCCTGCTGCGTGGCACCACCTCCATGGTGCTTGGGGAAAGAGGTGGCCCATGACCTTGCCCTCAAGTGTGCAGTATGCCATTGGTGGCTGCCCTTCTCTGCAGGTGGCCATGCCCCATCAGTGGCTGGAGGGGAACTTGCCCGTCAGCGCACGCTGCGCTGTTTGCGACCGGACCTGTGGCAGTGTCCGGAGGCTGCAGGACTGGCGGTGTCTCTGGTGCAAGGCCATCGTAAGGATGTATCCATCCCTGTCCCCACCCTCTCCCAGCACAGGCAGCAATGTGTGCATCTCTGGAAAAGCTGGTGCTGGAGACTTTGTTGCTGCATCCCTCAGCTTTGCTTATACAGGTGTCACTGTGTTCCCAGGTGCACAGTGCCTGCAAGGAGCTCCTTGGCAAGAGGTGCCCCCTGGGCCAGTACAAAGTGTCCATCATCCCGCCAACTGCCCTGAACAGCATCGATTCTGATGGTGAGTCAGGGAGGGCACAGGACTGGTGGGGGGGACGGGTTGTTTGGGATAGGGCTCTGAGCTCTCTGAGGTCCTTTGCAGGCTTTGACTTGGGGCACTGTGCCTGTTTTGTGGGGCAGCAGGAGCACCACCTTCAGTAGGCTCCAGAGTCTACACCCTCCCTTGGCTGAAAGCTACTTCTTGCCTTGCACTCTGCTTCAGGGCCTGGTGGTATTCTATGGGCTTTGGGGTGGCACTTCTTGCCCACATGTAGCTTTAGTTGCTTCTGCCAGGCCACCTCTTGCAGTGGCTCAGGGCGTGGTGGCTCTGTGCTGGGATCAGCGGTGCCAGCCCTGAGCTCCTGAGGTGGGCTGTCCTCTGTTGCACCTCAATGGTTCAGCATCTCTCAAGACAGTATAAAGCTCTTGCTTGGGTTGTTTCTCGGTGTCTGAAGCTCAGCTGTTTTTTTGGTAGTGCATAGCACAGCTTTGCCCTGGCACGGGACACTGCAGGAAGCCATGTGGTGCGTGGGGGGACCCCCCCGGCTGCCTCCTTCTCCTGAGGGGCCCAGCTGGCCTCCGCTGAGCAAAATCTGTTCTTCTCCTCCGGATATTTCTTTCTTCATTCTTTAATGCTTTTCACCACTCAGCTCAGCCGGTGGCTCATTTGCCTCTTGTTACTCATCGGGATGCTGTCAGGGTAACCATCACGCGGCTGCTGCTCAGCTCCAGAGCCTCAGCTGCTGGTGGCTGATCCTTGGCAGCATCTCTGCCCTGTCCCTCTCCAGCAGCCCGGCCATCCGTGGCTGTAACTCTTGCCCACCCGACTGGGAACAGCTTAGCAAGGCGTCAGTCTCCCCTTGCCCTGCCATGCTGCCGTGCTGCAGCATATGGGTCCTGCTGGCAGCAAGCTTTTCCGCTGCAGCCCACGTTCTGACTCAGCAGCTCCCGGTGCTTTGAGTTACTGATCTGCTCTGCTCGGCTGGGCTGGGAGTGGAGAAGGAGCAGTGGCCAGGCAAGGAGGCGGTGGGCTCTGGGGATGTTGCCCCTGTGCTCCTGCTGTGCTGGGAGTGCTGGGGCTCCTGGCTGCAGCCCACGGGGCTCTGAGGGCAATGGTTGTGGGGCTGGTGCCAGTGGCAGTGACGGCTGATGCGGTCCCTGCTGCAGCACTGCTGGCTCTGCCAAGGGAAGGAGCCTGCAGACACCAGCCAGGGGACTGGGATGGCCAAGATGTGCCCGGGGCGGGTGCAGGCTCTGGGCCAGCTGTCAATCCTGCTCTGCCTTGGGCACATTTCTTTCCCCATCTCATTTCTTTAAAAGCACAGTGCTTCCTCTTCCCTCTGCCCCTCACCATGCCCTGGACATCCCCATCACTGCCCCTCCTGCCCCAGCACCCCGCAGCCTGGGCTCGGCGCAGATGGAGTGTCCACACTCTGCTCTCCTCAAGGGTGTGGGGAGTGGGAACCGAGGCTCATGTGTTTGGGCTTACGGCAGGTTTCTGGAAAGCCACCTGCCCCTCGACCTGCTCCAGCCCTCTCCTGGCCTTTGTCAACTCCAAGAGTGGGGACAACCAGGGTGTCAAGTTTCTGCGCAAGTTCAAGCAGTTCCTCAACCCAGCCCAAGTCTTTGACCTCATGAATGGGGGCCCACACTTGGGGTAAGCTCCAGCCTGAGCATCCTGGAAGTGCCTTGGTGGAATCCTGGTGGGCACCTGGCACAGCACCCAGCCCCTCTCTCCTTGCCCCCACCCAGGCTGCGTCTCTTCCAGAAGTTCTCCACGTTCAGAATCCTGGTGTGCGGTGGGGATGGCAGTGTGGGTTGGGTGCTTTCTGAGATCGATGCCCTTGGCCTCCACAAGCAGGTGAGTGGGAGTGCCTGGCATTGCTAGTGCAGGCTGGCACCATCCCCAGCTCTGGCACACTCTGTGTGCCCCAGATGCTGTCAAGCAATGGGCACAGGAGGGTTGGGGTACCCTTGGGGGCTGCTCGGAGCCCCCCCACTCTGTCTCTCTCCTGCAGTGTCAGCTGGGTGTCCTGCCGCTGGGGACTGGTAATGACCTGGCACGGGTCCTGGGCTGGGGCAGTCTGTGTGACGATGACACTCAGCTGCTGCAGATCCTGGAGAAGCTGGAAAGGGCCACCACCAAGATGCTGGACCGGTGAGCAGGGCACAGAATACATGCTTCTCTGTCCCTCCTATCTTGACATCTCCTGGGCAGCCTATCCCAGTTCCTTGCCTGTCCCCGTGCTAGGGGGGCAGGAGGTAGCAAGCAGCCATGGTCTCTGCCTGGCAGGTGGAGTGTGCTGACCTATGAGGCGCCCAAGCAGTCCCCCTCAGCCCTGAAGGAGGAGGATAACGGGGACTCCAACATCCAGGTGGGAACTATTGGCATTTCAGGCCTTGAGGCTGGAGGGCAGTTTCTTGTTCAACCCAATTCAGAGACACACAGGGAGGCATGGCATGGGAAGAGGTCACGCTGGGGATCCCTGGGGACTGGGGCTAACGGGGAGCTGGCAGTCAGCTGCATGCAATGAAAGGAGCCTGGCAGGTCTCAGCCTGGCATGTGCAATTGGGAGCAGGCAGAAGCTGAGGTAGAGCTAGCCTGCTGCCGACCAGATGCTTTGGACTCTTCCGTGTGCTCCCCTTCAGCCCCTTGCCTCAGTTTCCCTCCTGATATGACTGACCTTCCCTCTGCCTAGCAGCATGGGCATGGCTGCCCTCAGTGGTGGGGAGTGGGCTGAATAAAGGCTGATCATCCCCACTTCAGGGCTGGCTGGGCAGAGCTCTGTCCATGAGCAGGGCACATGGCAGGGTGTCAGGGCTCCAGCTGTCTCCACCTGTGCCCCCAGGTCCAGATCTACCATTATGCTGACTCTGTTGCCTTCCACCTGGCCAAGATCCTGGAGTCAGACAAGCACTCAGTGGTGATCTCCTCTGCAAAGTAAGGAGGGGGCTGTTGATGGGGGTGCCAGAGCCTCTTTGCTGGGCTAGGGCATGTCCCCAGGACCACTGCACATCCCTTGGCCAGGCTGTCCCAGCCAGCTACCAGCAGATGCCAACTGTGCTGGCGCCTGGCAGATAATCCCGGCGCTGCCCCTCTGAAGCAGCGGATATCCAGAAGCCCCTCTGACATCTGTGCCTCACTGGCCATGCTGTGCCCCTCTTGACTTCCAGCCACTTTCCTTGGCAGGTTCCTCTGTGGCACTGTCAATGACTTTGTGACTGAAGTTGGGCGGGCTTACAAGAGGGCAACGGAGAACAAGCAGGAGGCTGAGCTGATGGCACGGAAGGTGTGCTGCAGGGGCCGTGAGCCTATGCCTTTGTTGTGCATGTATTGGAGTGTGCCATGCTTGGGGTGTCTAGGTGCTTGGGGGTATCCAGGCACTCACAGTGCCCAGGGAAGCACCCAGCACTGGTCGGGGGCAGCAGCTTGTGCCAGGTGCTGAGTGGGGTAGGTGTCCCACAGTGCGCCATGCTGAATGAAAAGCTGGACTCGCTGGTGCGGGAGCTGAATGAGGAGGCTCAGGCCATCATGGGCCCTGAAGAAATGGCACAGACTGATGTCAAGGACCAGGAGAAAGCTGGCAGTTTCAACCCCAGCCCCATGCCTCGCATTTTCAAATCCAAGGAGCAACTCATGCTGCGGGCAAACAGCCTGAAGAAAGCCCTGCGGCAAATCATTGAGCAGACAGAGAAAGGTGAGGGAGTGGTGGGAGCTGGCAGCTTCCCTGATGCTGGAAAAGCCTGGCAGGGACTGTGAAGCCACAGTGGGTTGGTGCTGGACCCATGCCTTTATTCTCCCCTGGGATCCTTGGAGTGGCAGCAGTGGCCCCATCTATGCCTTTCCTGGCACGAGCCCACAGGGCTGGCATGAGGAGGGGCCACAGGACCGTACAGGCTCCCTCTCATGCCCCTCTTTGAATCCAGCTGTGGATGAGCAGAACAAGCAGACCCAAGCCTACCAGGGCAGTGTGGGCCCCAGCAAGGACAGCTCGGAGGAGGTCAACAAGGAGGAGGAGAAGCTCAGTAAGATGCCAGCAGGGCACATGGCATTTTGTGGGGGCATGGGGGTGAGACATGGGATGGGCTCTGGGTGAGAGCCCATGTGGCAGCTACCTCCCTGTCCACCCTGGCCAGGCTCCCGGCGGGAGACGGTGACCTCTGCATCTTCCTCCATCATCCTGAACCGGCCGGACACCTTTGGCAGCTTGCAGTTCCCTGAAGACCTCAACACCCTGTGAGTCAGGTGTTCTGCCTGCCCCGGGGACCCTGGCCCACTCTTGCTGCCCGTCACAGAGCAGGAGCAGAGCTGGTACTATGCTGCCCCTTTGAGGAGGCTGCTGCAGCAGCCTTTGCCCACCAGTGCGGCATCCCTGTCACCAGGCCCTCCCTGGCCAAGCAGTGCCCGTGCTGGGGCAGCCTGCCTGTGCAGTGTGCGATCTCTGGCTGGTGCCTGGAGCTTGGTGCTCCGCCTGCAGGTAGGTCCTGGCTGTGCAGTGGGTGTCCCGCCATGGTGACTGAGGGAAATGCGGCCACCTCTGCTAATTTCGGTCAGGCTTCCCAGTACCAGCCACTCTGCTCCAGTGGGTGTTACACTGCGTCCTCTGGTGCCAAGCCAGAGTCACTCATGTGCAGCTGCTGCTCAACCCGCTTTTCCTGTTTGCTGCTTTCAGCCACTTCTCGGAGAAATGCGTCATGAATAACTACTTCGGCATCGGCCTGGATGCGAAGATCTCCCTGGAGTTCAACAACAAACGCGATGAACACCCCAAGAAATGCAGGTTGGCTGGAACCCCCAGATTTCCCCCAGAAAAAGCATGTACCCCTGACTCTCCAGTGCCTGCACCAGGAGGGACCATCAAGATGCTGGAAGCCATAGGGGTGACTGGGTGCTACTGTGCTGGGGCTCCTTCCTGTAGCAGATTTTGTACCCGCACCCATTATTGGCCTGAGCTTGGTGGCAGGCTGCAAACACCCCAGAAAGGGTGAAGACACGAGGCTTGGTGGGATTTACTTGCTCTACGCCTGGAGAGAGGGACAGTGCCCTGCTGGTATGGAAGGGTCGAAATCTGGGTGCAACATGCTGCACCTTGGCTTTCCTGGCAGGTAGCAGGAACTGTGGAACCTAAGGTGGGGCCAGCAGTCCAGTTCAGCACGGTGCTCCGGGAAGGGTGTGGAGCCCGTGACAGGCACTGACAGTGGGGAGCCTACAGCCCCTCATCTGTCCCACTTTGCCCCACAGCAGCCGCACCAAGAACATGATGTGGTATGGGGTGCTCGGCACGAAGGAGCTCCTGCAGCGCACCTACAAGAATCTGGAGCAGCGGGTGCAGCTGGAGGTACAGGACTGGGAGAACAGGGACAGGGTGGGAGTGGCAGCATTGCAGTGGCCCCCAGGCTCAGCCCTCTCTTGCAGTGTGACGGGGTGCCTATCTCGCTGCCCAGCCTGCAGGGCATTGCTGTCCTCAACATCCCCAGCTATGCTGGCGGCATCAACTTCTGGGGAGGCACCAAGGAGGACAATGTGAGTGCCAGTATCAAGAGAGGAGTTGAGTGGCATGATGTCCTTTTCCCAGTCCTAAGAATCCCTAGGGCTGGGGTGTCTCTGCCTTGGGCATGCATGGGGAAAAAGCTGGGTCCCAAACTGAGCCCATTTTGGAAGTCTCATGTGTAGTGGTCCTCTACAGAACTTTGGGGCTCCGTCCTTCGATGACAAGAAGCTGGAGGTGGTGGCAGTCTTTGGCAGCATCCAGATGGCCGTGTCACGGGTCATCAACCTCCAGCACCACCGCATTGCACAGGTAGTGGCAAGGCACCCTGCAGGACCACAAATGGTGCCAGAAAGCTTTTGAGGCAGCGCAGCTCTGCTCAGCTTGGCAGCTCTTGATGCCAAGCCCAGACTGTCTGACCCGCAGTGCCGTGTGGTGAAGATCACCATCCGGGGGGACGAGGGTGTCCCTGTGCAGGTGGATGGAGAGGCCTGGATCCAGCCACCTGGCATCATCAAAATCCAGCACAAGAACAGAGCCCAGATGCTGACAAGGGACCGGGTGAGACTGGGGTGCCAACAAGACCATGCTGGGCCATGGGGAGGTATGACCATCTCAGAGGGGCCATGTCTGTCCCCTGCAGGCATTTGAAAGCACCCTCAAGTCTTGGGAGGACAAGCAGAAAGGAGAGAGCTACCGAGCAGCCGCACGGCCACGGCTCAGCTCCCAGCAGTCCATGGAGTACCTGACTGAGGAGGAGAGCAGCCTCCTGCAGCAGGTCTCACAGGTCGCCGAGACCCTCATTGCCAGGTGAGGCTGTGGGAAGGGGAATGTGGGCACAGGGAAGGGGGAGCTGTGATGTGGCCGTGCAAAGGTGCCTGTCCAGCCCAGGGGAGCCCGGCAGCTCCAGCCCCTGTCACCCGCAGGATCCATGAGGCAGCCAAGGCTCACAAGGCCGTGGAGCAGGAGCTAGCACATGCGGTCAATGCCAGCTCCCTGGCACTGAGTGAAGCCCTCTCCCACAAAGCTGCTGGCACCTCAGAGGTGAGTGGGGACTGGGAGTGTAAGACAGCCTTTACCCAGAGCCCATGGTGCCATGCCACTCAAGCGGTTACCCCTCTGTGCCCCAGTTTCTCAGCAGGAATGTGGCTGTGGAGGTGGTACTGAGCATCAAGGAGCTGTGGGCTGAGACCAGGGCATTCCTGGAAGGGAAGGCGGTGAGTGAGGGGCTGGAGAGCACCCAAAGCCCCCCGAGGCTGGTACCTCTGGGGGTGGCAGCAGGGTTGGATATGGTCCCTGTCCCCACAGCTGGACTCACCACAGGAGGAGGAGGCACTGCACGGCCCCCTGAGTGTCCTGGGCCATGAGCTGCAGCGGCTGCTGGACATCCACTGGCTGGGCCCTATTGCCCACCCTGCTGAGGAGGTGGGTGCACAGGGACTGGGGTCTGGCACAGCCCACTGGTTGGTGTCGGGGAGCTGTAGCATCCTACCAAGCCTGGCTTCTCACAGGAGGGTGCCAGCAGTGCCAACAAGGGCAGCTTTAAGCTTCGCCTCAACATCCCCAAGCCTAGGAAGGAGAAGGACAAGCTGCAGAAGCAGAAGGCCAACAGTGCGCTCCCAGGTAAAGAGACAGGTGGTGCAGTCTGTCCTAGAAAGGATGCCCCTGTGCTGACCTATTCCTCAGTCTTCTGTCCTGGGTCTGCTGGGGCAGAATCCTCAGGAAGGGAGAACAGGGCATCGTCTGGCTGCCAGGGGGTGTCACCTTTGTCACCAAGAGCCCCTTACAGCTTTTTCTGGTATCAGACATGCAGAGCAGCCCAGTCCCATAACTCCTTGGCTAGGGGGAGAAGGGGGCTCTGGCACAGCTCAGACCTTTGGCTAAGTCCCTTGTCTCCGGCTGGGGGTCTGGTTGAGAGGGAACAGCCTAAGTTCTCCATAAGTGAGCCAAGGAGAGGGGAGACCTCTCAGCCTGAGCAGGCTGTGGCCTCTGGCCCTGCTGGAGCCAGAGGTGGGAGGGGGTATGCTGGCTGCTGACCACAGGCTGCCATCGCTGCTGCCCGCCCTGCTGCATCCCACTGCCTCCACAGTCCCCAGCAGTCCACCACTGTGGTTTTCCTCCCTGCTAGCAGACAAGTGGAGCTCCGAGGAGGTGGCAGCTTGGCTGGAAGCACTCGGTTTGGGGGAATACAGAGACATTTTTGTTCGGCATGACATCCAGGGCTCAGAGTTGATTCTGCTGGAGAGGAGAGACCTTAAGGTACAGCCCCCTTGTGCCTCCTGAGGACCCCCCAGCCCTGAGGAGCATGGCGTCCTCCATCTCTCCTCTCCCTATCTCCCACCTCCTGGTGGCAGGTTGGCCCTACATCTGGGTCTACAGAGTTGAGCTTTGAACAGGGGCAGGGAAGCAGGGGAGGGGGGTGGCCTTGGTCCTCCAGCTTGCAAGGCTCCATACACCTGTCCAAAGCAGTATCAACAACACCCTGCCCTCACCTGCATTCAGGCACAGGGATGTGCTTTCAAGAGGACAGAGGGCTTCAAGCAAGCACTGTGCTCCAGCAAGGGAGAGCATGGGGAGCTGGGCTGTGCCTCATCCTCCACCCTGTGTGGCTTGTCCACTAGCAAGAGCCGCCCCCTGCAAATGCATCACCTCCTCTTTCTCTCTCCTGCAGGACCTGGGGATCACCAAAGTGGGCCATATGAAGAGGATCCTTCAGGCCATTAAGGAGCTCAGCAACGTGCCCTAGGCTGACAGCAGGACAGCAGCCCAGCCCAGGTTCTGGGTGGGTGCTGCCCCCAGGGAACAGGGGTTGGGTAGGGGAACAGGTCCCTGCCCGTGTCCCAAATGAATGGAGCCCCCCCGCTTGCCTTGCTTTAACTGTCTGTCCCCAGTGTCCCTGGAGCCACTGCTTCTCCTCCAGCCTATGGGGTTGGAGAGGCTGAAGCAGAGGTTTAAGCCGATAGGTGATGTGGTCTGACCCACCGGTCCAGCCCCATCAGGGTCACTATAGGAGCTGGGGCTACCCTCTGTGTGCTCAAGCTAGAGCCAAAGCAAAGTTTCCCCTTCCCCACATGGGTATTTATGCTGTGTAAATATTTGGAGAGAAGATACTCATTGCTGCTGCTTGCATAGTGTCATTACTCAGGGGAAGGTGAGGGGTGGGGAGAATTGAGAATACCTTTCCAGCCTTCACCCCCGAGCTTCCTGCTGATCCTGATGGATGTGTCACCTTGCTCTCACCCTCTGTCTCATCATAACAAGGGGAGGTACAGTGCTGGGGCTCAGTCTCCAGTGCCAGCATGTACAACAAACATATTTTATTAACAGTTACACATGACTTTTTTCCCCTCCCGCCTATTCCTCAGTTAAAATTACTTATATACATGGTACCACCCTGCTTGAGGGTACCCCATTATTTACAGGCTTATTCACAGAGTAGTGCTAGGAGCTAGTGAGTATCTCCTCAAGCTTGAGCATGTCCATGGGGGTGACTTTGGCAACCTCAAAGAAGACCCTGGAAGGAACACATTGTCTTAGAGCTCAACCATAGCCTTCACACCCACCCAGCAGTGCTCTCAGATCCCTACAGAAACCTGGGGTGCATGCTGGTGGTGTCACCCCCTGCGGCAGGGACAGAGCCCCATGACTCTCACCTGTGTGAGTATTTGCTGCGCACAGCATTCAGCTTGTCACGGGGCTGGTATGTGAGCAGGAAATTCAGCCTCTTCACCAGGGGGTGCAGGTCCTGGGCACTGTACCCACTGTAGTACTCCAGTGTAGGGGTCTGTGAGGGGACAGCAGGGCTAAGCTGTGTCCTCTCAATGACAGGACAGCCATCATCTTCCCTGTCCAGCATGCAAATCTGATCACAGCCCTTGTGAATCAGCCGACAACTCATTGGTCCATTGCCTCCCACTGCAGTGCCTCCCCGGGTGCCTCAGAAGGGACAGGTACTCACCCAGCCCCCAAGGTTCTTCATGGTAAGTGCCAGCAGCAGGCAGCTGGCAGCCAGCTTCGAGGGGCTCTCGCGGGCATAGTCGTACTCCTGCAGGGTCATCTCGCAGAGGAACCGGGCCAGCGTCAGCGTCTCCATGGTGGCACGGGCACACTACAGCCGGTGGGCAGGGAAAGGCTCAGCCTTTTGAGCAATGCTGCTCTCCTTCCCAGCCTTTTTGGGATCTGGGGCACAGAACAGGGATCCCACACACCCAGTCTATCACAGGCCACCATCCTCACACCCCTCAACCCTCTTAAGGGGACCTGGACAAAGTTTCCTTGCTGCCACTGGGAGCCTGATGCCCCGTTGATGCAAGACACTGCGCCATGGAGCCAGCAGAAGGGGTGCTGGGGCCCCCAGGCCACCCTCCGAATGCACTTACCTTGGCAAAGCGCCGTAGGAAGCGGTAGGGGATGGGGATGTTGATGTCGAACTTGAGGGTGCTGAGGATGCTCATCTCCATAGCAATCAGCTCCTCCCGCTTGTAGGCGTCATCACAGATATAGAGGAAGTCATCCACACACGGTGGGCACCGCTCCTGTAGGGGCACAACTGCTCAGCACCCAGTGTGGGCTCATCCTGGCCTCACTCAGGAGATCCTAGCCATCCCACAGGCCCTCCAAGTATTCCCATGCTGCTGGACCCAGCAAGGACTTGTAACACCCCACAGGACTTCTGTGATGTCCATACTCCTCCAGCCCTTGGCTTGAGGTCCAGGCCTGTATTAGGCAAACTAAGGTACTCTGATCGTCTCTGCAGAGCAGAGAGAAGCTGGTTCTCCAGTGACACCAGGACACAGATTTCAGCCCATCACGACTGCGTTCACAGCCCTTGGGACGGGAAGGAGGAACATGACAGATATGCCACCCTGGCAGCTCTCAGAGCAGTGGCCTGGCCTTCTCCAAAACCCCACAGGGACCACAGAGGCATAGCCCCTCTGCCCCTGCACCCCAGGACAGCACACAAAGTCACCTCAAATTTGGAAGCAATGAGGATGGCAGTGGAGCCAATGAGCTGCAGCTTCTCCCTCATGCTCACCACCTCCACCAGGTAGTGGTCCACCAGCTTCACGGCCAGGTACAATGTCTCATGGTTCAGCTCAAAGTTCTCCTGCAAGAATGAGAGCAGGAGTCAGGACAGAGTGTCAGACAGAAGTCTGGCCTGCCCAGCCCCACCCAGCTCTCACAGAGACTGAGGTGCCCATGGGTCAGGCCCAGAGGGAGGGATGTAGGCTGATCCCTAGCCCACACAGTGGGAGGATCAACTTTGCACTGGCAGTGCTTGCAGGAGCCTCTGGCAGCACGCTGAGGTCACATGTGCCAAAGCTGTGCCCTCTCACCTGCACCTCCACCATCCAGTCCACAAGGATGGCACGCATGTCCCCACTGATGTCTGTCTGCTTCTCCATGTAGTCAGGAAGCAAGAATTTTTCCTGCCAAAGAGCCAGCTGTCAGGGACAGGGCAGACATCCCCACCCTCAGACAAGCCCCTTCTCACCCTGTGCAGGCCCCTTCCAGGTGGTCATGGCCTCTGGGCAGTCAGTGACCCTGCCTGCAGCCACTCCTTCCCCGGACAGAGCTGTCACCCCCTGGACAGGCATCACCTACCTCTCTTTCTCGCATGTATTCAAAGATCTCCTTGGCATACTCTGCATTGGCATAGGGGTCACCCAGCTGCTCTTTGTCAATGTCCTCCACTGCTGGTACCTGCTGGCATGGAAGGGGCAGCAATAAGGGGGAGGCCCTGTGAGTGTCAGTCACCCCGTTGGGGCAAGGCCCCTGTCCCTCTGCACCTCCCTTTTCCTACCTGCCCTCATCACCCTGCAGTCCTTACCCCACTCTTTCCCAGGGGAGCATTCTTGCAGGAGGATGGTGATGCAATTTGCCCCCCTCCCCAGCTTCCCATCACCCTGGCTGGAGTCTCTCCAATGCCCAGAGTACTGCCTGGTGCCCCAGGATCACCAGTGGCAGCCACAGACCAGTGCTGTGATGGGCCTAGGGCAATGCTGCAGTCTGGGGTCCCTACCCTCTCCTCAAGAGGCTTCAGTTTCTGCACAGACACCAGCTTCTCTGGCACAGAATTCACTTTGGGCTTTGCAGGAGCTGTTGGGGGAGTTTTCTTCATTGGCCTGGGAAGGACAAGAGCGTAAATCATTGCTGGGAGAAGACCAAATTTCTTGGCTGAAAGGAGTCTTCCAGGAAAGGGCAAAACAACCCATAAAATATCCCCACAGATTCTTAAAACCACTTAGATTGGAAAAGATATTTAAAGATATTGAGGACAACAGTTCCCCCAGCACTGCCATGGCCATCACTAAACCATGTCCCCAAAAGCCACATCCACATGACTTTTAAAACCTGCCATGGAAGGTGACTCTAGAACTGTCCTGGGCAGCCTGTGCCAGGGCTGGACAGCCCTTTTGGGGAAGAAATTTTTCTTAATGCCCAACCTAGCCCTCCCCTGCCACAACCTGATGCCATTTATAGTAGATAGACAAGTTCCCTCTTGCATCTGGCTCAGCCTCCATCACCCAAGGGAAGCCCTTACTACTTATCCCCATGGGACAAGTTTGCAGCAAACCCCTGCCCCCAGCTACTCACTTTTTTAGGTTGATCTCGTTGTTCTTGGCTACCCCCAATGCATTATGTGCCTTCTGTGCCTTGGGTGGAGCAACTTTCACAGCCTCCTTCTTCCCTGCCACTACCTGGTTTTTGCGAGCCTGTTTGGATGAGAACAAGGGCATACAGAGGCTACACAGTGGAAAGCAAGATACACCTTGCAGGGAGACCTCTCCTCTTCCTGATGGGCATGGGGCAAGCCCCCCCACCATGGGGGGCTCACAGAAGCACTCACATTGGTGATGTCTCCGAATGCTGATCTCTTCTTGGGCCCACCCTGGGGTGATGACGAAGACCTCTTGGCATGACAGCTCTCCTCCTACAATAGAGGCTGTTAGAAGATGGTGGCCCCACAGGAGCACCCCCTCCAACCCTCTCCTAGGTTAGTGCTCACCTTCTCAGGGTCTACATTCTCTGTAGCAGGGCCCACCTTGCCTGCTCGGGGCTGCTTGGTGGTCAGCATCTTGGCATTGCGTGGTAGCGGCATCCTCTCCCTTGGTCTCTGAGAGCAAGCTGCGGGCAAAGCATGATGTGAAGGGGGCTGCTGCCCGCCCGCCTCCAGAGCCACCCTGCCAGCTTAGGGGAGAGCAGGGGGGCCTTTGTCCCTCCTAGGGGCTAGCACAGCAGGACTGACCCCTTCCCTGAGCATGGCAGGCGGGTGGTGCCCCAGGACAAGGCAAAGGACAAATCTGGCTAGGGGTGCTCCCAGGGAGAAAGGGACATGGACCCCAAATATCGCCACCAAAAGCACTCTGCTGGGCGAGGTGGGAGGGGGGACAGGCAATTCCCAGATTCCTGCATCACTGAGAAGGTTGCAAGGGCTTGCACTTCCTCGGAGAGTCAGAGGTCTTGGACATCCCCCCTCCCCTACAACCCCCAGGGTCCTCTAGAGGAGTTGGGAGTCCCAAAGCTCCCCTATCCCCTGCATTTACCGGAATTCCCAGGGGAGCCAGGGATCTTGGAAGCCCTTACTCCTTTGCACCCTCCAGGGTCCCCACGCCTGCCACCAACTTGGGGTCCCAGCGCTGCCCATTCCTCCGCGGCCCCCTGGGACCCCACTCACTGGGTCTCCCCCGCCCGAGGTGTCCTCTCCCCCCACTCACCCATGCCCGGTGCGCTGTGCCCGCACCGCCGGCCCCGGCGCTTTTGAAAGTAGCAGTTCGGTAGCGGCCGGCCAGCACTGGCCGAGCCTCGGCCAATCAGGGTGCGAGGCGGTGCCAAGCGGCGGCCAATCAGCGGGCGCGAAGGGATGCAGTTGCTAAGGGGCGGGTCGGCAGGGTTTAAAATTCAACGCCGGCGTCCAATGGCAGGGCGAGCATGCAGCGGGGGCGGGGCTAGCGCGGCTCCAGGCGGGCCATGATTGGTGGGAGCGGGCGCCGTTTAAATCGTTCTGCAGGAGCGGTGGGGCCGGGAGCG